CTTATTGGGAAAAGGTAAAAAAGTTGAATTAGGTTTAAAAAGGTTAAAAACTCAAACTCTTATTAGAATTAGGCTAAGCATTATAAATATACTTTTAACAAATTTTAATTATAAATATAACTTTTTAAGTAATTTAATTAATCTCTTTGAAATATCAAACTTTATTAAAGAAAAGGGTACAAAAATTATGTATGAAAAGTTGTTTTTGCACTTTAATCAAATAAAATATTTGCAATAAATTTTATCAATTCTTCATAAATAAATAGAAAGAAAAAAATTAAAAGTATAATGGAAATAATTTGGATGACCAAATAAAATTGAAAAATGAGACAAGCTTGAATATTTTTTGAAGAAAAAAATATGGCATACAATTAAATTCTAATAATAAAAGTGTCTCGGAAAGAGTCTAAATGAGAATAAGGGCTCATTTGTTTTCATTAAGATTTAGAGGCCTAAATGTGAATGCACATCTGAATATTAAAATAAGTATGAAGATTAAGATGTCAGAATTTGAATACTTGTCTGAATATTAAAATGTAGTTTCTAGGTCTGAACAATAAATCAATCATTAAGATTGTCTGTTTTCAAAATCTTAATATGCATAATATTTTTTAAAATTAGAAATTAAACATTATATCAACAAAAATTTATTTTTTTTGCTTTGGTCAATAAAAGTTGTAATCCACACCAAGAATTGTTTCAAGAATAAGATTATAACTCATCCCAGAAAAAAATAATTTATTTTTTTTCAAATAATTTTTTTCTCAAGAAACAATGATAACTTCTTCCAAAGAAGTTTTGATAACAAACAAATTATGTGACTAGAAGAGTTCTTCATAAATATCAATTCACCCAAGAATATTTTATATATTAGAAATATTATATAAATACTTATAAAAGATTATGAAAACTTATTTATTAAAAAGAAAAAAATGGTACTTGATTGAACAAGAAGAGGAAGAAACTTGAAACTTGTCAAGAAGAAAAGCAATGAAGAAGAAAATTTGTTTATGAAAAGAATGTTTATTATTTTAATAGAGTTTGAATGATATTAAGACCTCATTTGTTTGCACTTAATGGGTGTCTAAATCTTTATCAATCAAATTCGCCTCATTCAGGTTGTTTGTTTTTTAGGACTAAATCTTAATTATTCAGATTCAGTTCATTAAGTTTGTTTGTTTATTTTCTTATAAGTCTCTTAATTGGTCTGATTATATCTGAATGAATCAGATTTGTAACACACTCTTAACACCATTCAGACTAAAAAATAAGACTCCTACCTTAATTCAACTAGATCACAACAACTCATAAAATTTTTTTACTTATTTAATTAATGTTAGTAACATGCTTACCGTTATAATTTCCTATATTCTTACTAACTTAATATACGTCTTTTACTTTCATAGATTAACCAATATATTCGAATTGATAAGCACTTCATGATATAATATTTAGCACTAGGCTTGTGCAAAAATTGAGTCAAACCATTAACTCGAACCAATTTTTGATATATTCGGCTAATGGGTCGAGGTATTGGAAATTGGTTCGGGTCTCGGTTTAGTTTTTTTTTATTGACTTAACGGTTCCCTGGTCGAGTTGTGAAGGAAAAATATCGGGTACCCGATACCCCGATAAGACTCGCTATTTTTCCCTAATTTCTAATTTCACAATTCTAGTTATTAGGACTTAGGGTAGAAAACTCTTTTGTTCCAAACTCCTCTCGTTTAAGGACTTATCGTTTCTCCAAATTCCATAAACAGGAGAGGCGACGACTACGAACTACTCCAGTCACTCAGGCGAGGTAAGGCAACGAATACTCCAGTCTCTCAGGTGAGGACGCAACTCGCAAGGTAACAACTAAAGGTTATATTTCAAGCCTGCAATATTTTTATTCGTCCATTAATCATTATGTATGTCTATTTTCGTGATTCAACCGAAGGAACAAAATATTGGCTTGTTAGTCGAGCTTCAGTTACTCTGAAGAAGTGCATATTCGATGCATATTTTTGGTGTATCTTCTAATAGTGTATCTTCTCTATGCTATACCAATTTGTTATCTAGTCCGATTGAGATATGAATTCAGTGCATTTGTGCACTATACTCTGGTCTAATTAATGATTTTCGCAATGATGGAGTTCATTTTTAGCAACCTGTTTTGCATTGGTGATAAAATTTCATTTGTTGGTTGTCTGATAGGTGAGCAAACTCAAATTTTAGAAGTTAGAAGCTTGACTGCTCGAGACTCTGAGTCTTACTCTTCTCAGTTCTCATGACTTCTGCACAGACCTACTCGGCTCTCCAATCTTAGGTTCTCAGTCGCTCACTGCTCACGCCTCAAAAGTAAGTCTCAAAATTTTAAATTCACTTAATTTCAAGATTTCACTATGAAGTGTGATGTTTGAATTTGATTATGAGAAAATGATTGTGAATTTTTTATTTGTCCATAGAAAGAACAGCCAGTGAATTTGTGTTATCCTTTTGTTTAATTAAGCGTGTTGAAAGGCCAAAAAACTTGTAAATCAGAAACAAGTCAACAAAAGAATCATGTCTGTCTCATTGAAATGTACATTCAAGTTAATTTATTCTTCCTTCATTTTTCCCCATCATTTTCTGTTTGTGGGCCAATTCACTGCAAATTTTTTAGGGAAATTTCTTATATGGCAAACGGATGTTATGAAATTACATTTTATGGGTATAGTGTACGTAATTACATTTCATGGGTATAGTTTAGTTTGTTAGGTGACTCTAAATTTGTATAAAACGTTTTTTTTAATTAAATTTGTACAAAAAAATTATTTTTCAATAAATGGTAACAGTAGCACAAAAGATGCTAACAATAAATTTACATAATCCCATGATTTAAGCAAAACATTTAAAATCAAATATTTCCCCCAAAAAAGAATTCTAAAGTTATAGAAAGACAATACCAGTTCAAAATTAAATATTTTTCTAATTTTTTTTAGATAAATCTATGAAACACACACACAAATATATTTATATATAAATTGATTATATTGTATATATTTGCGAAATTGTATATAATTTTTATATAATATTTGTGTGAAATTGATTTTGTGTTTTAAACTGTATACGACCATCATATATTCTTTTAATTTTTCTGGGTAATTTTTTTGTATACAATATTTTATTATGTTCTTATTTTATCTTTTTGTATAATTCTGGAAATTTGTATAATGTACAATAATCTTGGTATATATATTATAGTTATATATGTGCATCTGTGATTTCATGTTTTTATTTTATTTTTTTAAAAGTATTAATGATTAAACTGATTGTATATTATATTTATTTGTTAATTGTATATATAGTAAGCTTGAAATATGTTTCTATTTTTGAGGGTGTAACGTTTATACATACAATATTTTATTATGTTCATAATTTTTTGTATATATCGACAAATTTGTATAATGTATTATAATATTAAAGAGTGATTTACAAATTTCTTTATACAAAATTAAATAATTGTATACAAATAGCTATTGCCTCATAAGACTTTGTATATGTTACCTTAATATACACCCACTATATATCTAACTTTAGTAATTGGTATACAACTAATAGAATATACAATTAAAAACTGTTTCATAATACTTTGTATATATTAACTTAATATCTAAATCACTATATACATAACTTTGTAATTTGTATATAAATTACACTACCTGATATTCCCGATATTCTTCAGATTTGTCCAGGATCTCAATTCTTCAATAGATTGTTCAACTTAAACTTGTTTATGTTTTGCCATAGACCCTACATTAACCCAGAATCATGAGTTAACCCAATTGAAACGAAGGTGGATTATCAAAAACATTGATATGCAATGACATACCTCTCGTAATCCTCATACATGGACATAAATCATCTATTCTGATTTTGAAAGATTTGTAAATTAATAAGTAATAAAGATTTTTAAAAAAAATATGAAAAAACTAACAATCATACTACACATACAATTGTTGTAGAAGGAGCCAAGAAAAAAATATTGAAAGCCATGAATTTGGCAGTTACCTACGAAAAGTGTAAGAACATTGGAGGGAGAGGTCAAAATTTTCCCAATGGAAATTCAAATCAGAAGGGAAGAGTAATTTTAGGAAAAGATATGGAATGAGAATATGAGAGATAAATTTGATTTTTGAATAAAATTATATAAAGATCTTTGGATGACTATTTTTATTCTGTATACAAATAGATAGTGGATCCCATTAATTATGGCAAAAAATGAAACTATATTTACTGACCGTAAATAAATTAAACTATACCCTTATTAACTAATTACATAGGGATGTTTGCCATCCCATGTAATTATCCCAATTTTTTAACCCAATTTCCTTTTTGGTATATACACAATTTGTATATCAGTGTACAGAGCTCATATATCAGCCCCGTTTCATGCCTTCTGGACGTGTGCAAGCTATTGGGAAAAGAGTTCAATGAACTCATCCAATGATGCCATAAAGAGGAAACAAAAAGCATTTTGGATTTTCAGGGGTCATGTCAAAATGCGAAGGAGGAAGGAAAAGAGTTCAATGAACTCATCCAATGATGCCATAAAGAGGAAACAAAAACAAGAGTTAGCCAGCTATAAATTTTCTGGTGGAAATGAATCACAACACCTAAAAATATAAAACTAGAGCTCAACAAATGTATAACAAGAAAAATTCAAACAAGCAAGATTATAGCGGTCATAATATAAATCTCCCTTGCAACAAAATGATATTATCCACCCGTAGAGAATGTTATTCAGTTAATAACCAAAAGAAAAACTCTTCACACAAAACAAATAAAATAAAATCCCTTAATAACATATCTAAGCACATAGATACTTGGGACTTTTAAAAAAAAAGTGACAATAAGGTTTCAAAATAAGTAGGCGGTGACATAAGTCTTAAGTATTGGGTGTAGGTGACAATTATGTGATAAATGATTAAGGATTGTGGAGTTGCCCTCAAGTTTATAAGTTGACAGTTTGATTCATTGAATTAAATGAAAGGTAAAAAAGGGTAAATTGACTAAAACCTAATTTAACCAATTTTGGTGAGAATTAAAATTAAGGGAAGTCATCAGCAAGCTGTACCAAAAGGGGAGATAAAATATTGTCCCCCATCTCTCGTCGTACTCTTCTTTTTCCTCTTCTTCTTCTTCGTTCTTGCTTGCTTGCTTGTCTATCTTCTCATTCTTTTTGTGTAACACCCCGTAACTAAAACAGACAAAAAAATCAGCTTTTTTGAAAATCTGCATGTGCAACAGTCGAGTGATAACTGATAAAATGGATTTACTACATTATTGACTATTTTTCCTTACAAGACTAAGGTAGCATTTTATGTTTATTATGATGATTATTTTTACCAAGAGTGATAACTGATAAAATGAATTTACTACATTATTGACTATTTTTCCATACAAGACTGACTTTTTCATTTTGAAAAAAGAGTGACTTAGCATTTATAACTTTTGTTACAATTTTGAAATTTGTTCATGTAACGACTATCAGTTCTGACTTTTTCTCCAAAGTATTATGAGAGATGATCTAACATTAAATTTTAGTACACTATTTTATTTATTTTAGTGATATGAGTTTGCTATCAATTTAGCGAAGAGATGAACAAGCCTATTCATTCTAAAGCATGGCAGAGGAACAATTAAGTTCCGAATTTGTGGTTTTAAACTTACCAGAAAAACATGGAGTATCTCATCAGAGCAACCCAACAATCCCTTTTGATCTGCCAATTGAAATTGTTATTGAAATTTTCTTAAAGCTTCCGGTAAAATCTCTCTTGAAAATCAGGTTTGTTTCAAAATCTTGGCATGCATTGATTACTAGTCCTAAATTTATCAAGTACCATCTTAATTTATCGGCTAATCATAACAAATACTTTACCAACCATAATGTTATTTTGAGTATAACCCAACCAGAACTCAAACATAAGGATTGTTTTGTTATGGAGGAAACTGATTTGGATTATCACATAAAAAACTCAGGTATATCTTTTACGATTGAGGGTTTTATCAATGGATTGGTTCGTCTTGTGAATAAGGAAAATGAATAATTCTATGGAATCCAACCATAAGAAAGTGTAAGAAATTGCCTAGTTTTAGAACTCAATTGAAGAATGAGGGTTATTGCACTTATGGCTTTGGATATGATGAGATCCATGATGATTACATGGTAGTGTGTATTTTTTCTATTGTTGGATGTCCACCTCATTTTCAAGAGATAGATATATATAGTCTAAAGAAAGATTCTTGGCAAATAATACATTGTTCACTAAACGTGATACGATTAATTGGTTTGGGTAAATTTGTGAATGGAAAATTTTATTGGACTACTAGGATTAATATCAAAAGTGGTTGGAGCATAACCTCTTTCAATTTGATTAATGAGAAATGGAGAAAAGTGGAACGACCTTACAATGGAGAAGAGAGTGAAGCTCTTGTGTTGGGGGTGTTGGGAAATAATCTTTGCGCGATTTGTAATAATTCAACTACTCACGTAGATGTGTGGACTATGGAGGAGTACGAGGAAAAAGAATCTTGGATAAAAATGTTTGCAATCGATTGTGCTCTAAATCCCGTGGATTATTTGTTTTCTCACTCATTTTGTTTGTCAAAAAGAGGTGAATTTTTTATTATGTTTGATGATAGTGTGATGATATACGATCCAAAGGATAACTCAATTAGATATTCAAAGACTAGGGAATTTGATTATGGTGTTTTGACAGAGTTCTTTCAAAGTCTAGTATGTCCGCTTTCACAAAGCGAATCGAAGGTACAAAAAGAATGAAGACATTGTGATAATTGCAACTATATAAGTGATGATTTTGCAAGAGTTCAATTCTATGCATTTTAGATTTTACAAAGGACATGTTTTAGGGGGAATATAACCCACATCAATCCTCATAGAGACCTAATTTGTATTTTTCCTTTTAAGTATTTTCGTGAAATAATATATTTGTTTTTTCATCATTGTTAAATAGCATATTAATTTCTTTGGCAATATCATTTCATTAAATTTATCTATTTGGCCAATTAAGGATTGTATCTTTTTTCACTTTTATCAGTAAATTTGATATTAGTTAGATTGGATTGGATAGAGGAAAACAATGGAGAAAATATTTATTTGCTATGATTATTAAAGTAGATCAAAATTTTTTTATCTTAAGACGAAGCGTTCCTTCAAAAATTTTAAGTACTATGTTGACGCATGGGAAGGGTGGAGTTGCCTACCATTAATGAATCTTGATGACGGAACATGATAGCGCCTTATTAATGTTCATATCGAGATGTTAGTTTATTAAATAAAAGGGCACATATAGAAAAAAAAATTATTTATTGGCAACCAAAGATATATGAACCTTATATATTTTATGTTTTAAATTTGTTAAAAGTATATTTATAATGCTTAACCTAATCTTAATAAGAGTTTTGAGTTCTTTACTTTCTTATAGGGAAAAGGTTAAAAAAAATTCTTGTAAATTTTACTTTTATTAAAAGTTTGACTCATATTTTTCATCATCATTCTTTGTTAAATTATAAATATAATTTTTTAAATAGTTTAATTAGTATGTCAAATTTTGTTAAAGAAAAATGCCACATATATAAAAAAATTCAATTATTAGAATATCAAAATTTGAGTGTTTATTTATATAATTATGCCAATTATTAAAGCTTCATCTATTTTTTTTGTTTTTGTCTTGTTCTTTAATAATAACCCAATTCCAAGTTTAACTTCAATTCTATACGACAAACGAACTCCAAAATCATCATATATGTGCCTACAAAATCATTTGTTTCTACAAATCATTCAAGCTAGGACCTGAATACATAAATCCAATTAGAAGAGAAAACAAAGATATATATAAATTGAAATGGTTTAAGTTTCAATTGTAACAATTTACTTTTCTCATGAGACGATCATACGCACTAAAATTGCTCTCAATATTGCAAACCACGAATAAAATTATCAATCACTTAATTTAACTTGTAAAAATGAAGAAATTTAAATAGTTACTAGTAAATGAGAATTAATATCGACATTTGAACGACAACGGAGATGGATTTAAAGTCCCACATAGCGGATCTAATGACAACCTTTTTTATTGTGGGAATGAGTTAAAATAGAAAAATTGAATTTACTAATTAACTTTTAGTGGAAATTGTATTTTATTGCCACTTGAAAAGAGAATTTTTTTACTGCCTGTGTGCATTTGCCGCTATTTTTCATTTTAGAGAATAAGTTAGTAGCAATCATTTTATTATCGTTAAATAATTGTCACTAAAAATAACTTTTTGATATAATGTAATGATGATAGAGTCCATGATCGAATTGAATTTTACATGAGGTATTGTAAAATGTTTGGAGTTAGCCCAGATGACAATCTTGATTGTGGTTTCTAACTCTTAGTTTGTTTCTAGGTAACCATACATCATCTGTTTGTTGTCTTGGATACATATATGGTAATGAAGTCGCCTTCATATCAACCTCGGATATTGCCACAAACATTATGTATGAAAAGTTGTTTTTCCACTTTAATCAAATAAAAAATTTGCAATAAATTTTATCAATTCTTCATAAATAAATAGAAAGAAAAAACTTAAAAGTGTAATGGAAATAATTTGGATGACTAATAAAATTGAAAAATGAGACAAGCTTGAATATTTTTTTGAAGAAAAAAGTATGGCGTACAATTTTTTTTCTAATAATAAAAGTGTCTCGGAAAGAGTCTAAATGAGAATAAGGTTTCATTTGTTTTCATTAAGATTTAGAGGTCTAAATGTGAATGCATATCTGAATATTAAGATAAGTATTAAGATTAAGATGTCAGAATTTGAATACTTGTCTGAATATTGTTGGGTTTAGCAAGTGTGAATGAGAAAAGAAAAGAGAGAATATAAAAAGTCGGGGAACTATTTTGGAAGAAAAATGAAAAGTCATTTGCAAAATGCAAATGAAAAGTCATTTCTCCCATATCGGCAAAAGAAAAGGAAATTGTTTTCCTTATATAAGGAAACATTTTCTTTACTTTTTAAAGAGCTAAGAAGAAGGTGTCCCCTTGCGTCGTCGTCGTCGTCGCTCGCTCGGCTTCGGTGAATAATTTGATTGATGAATTTTTTGGACAAAATTTATGAAAAGTTGTTACTCTTTTCGAAAAAGCTGTTATTTTCCTAACAGACACATTTTTCGAAGAGTTGTTATTTTTTTCAAAAGACACAACTTTCTGGATAAAACGGGTCTGAACAGATTTTTCTGAACAGACACGTTTCTTGCTGAAAATGGCTATAAAAGGAAGTCATTTTTCATTTTTTTCAAACACTGAAATTTTCCTTCTCTGCATATAATTTTCTCTCAAAATCAAAGTGTCGATCGACTGAGTCTGTGTGACTTGTTATTCTTCTTAAGTTTGCTGACGTTAAAGAAGTTTGAGGTATGACTATTTCTTTAACAGGATTAATCCGTTTTATTTTTGGAGAAATTAATTCATAACCTCGGGTACAGTGAGGGGATTAAATTTCTTAAAGAGACACAATAATTTTTGTGGACGCGGATTATTTTATATTTTTTCTGCTTCATCTTATTTCTTTTTCTGTTTATTGGTTAACCTTATAAATATAGGTTGATAACAAACATTAAAATGTAGTTTCTAGGTTTGAACAATAAATCAATCATTAAGATTGTTTGTTTTCAAAATCTGAATATGCATAATATTTTTTTAAATTTTAAATTAAACATTATATCAATAAAAGTTTTTTTTTTTGCTTTGGTCAATAAAAGTTATAATCCACACCAAGATACTTCTTCCAAACAATTGTTTCAAGAATAAGACTATAACCCATCCCAGAAAAAAATGATTTATTTGTGTTTTCAATAATATTTTTCTCAAGAAACAATGATAACTTCGTCCAAAGAAGTTTTGACAACAAACAAATTGTGTGACAAGAAGAGTTCTTCATAAATATCAATTCACCCAAGAATATTTTATATATTAGAAATATTATATAAATACTTGTAAAAGATTATGAAAACTTATCTATTCGAAAGAAAAAAATGATACTTGATTGGAAAAGAAGAGGAAGAAACTTGAAACTTGTCCAGAAGAAAAGCAAGGAAGAAGAGAATTTGTTTATGAAAAGAATGTTTATTATTTTAATAGAGTTTGAATGATATTAAGGCCTCACTTTTTTTGCACTTAATGGGTGTCTGAATCTTAATCAATCAAATTCGCCTCATTCAGGTTGTTTGTTTTTTAGGACTAAATCTTAATTATGCAGATTCAGTTCATTAAGTTTGTTTGTTTTATTTTCTTATAAGCCTCTTAATGGGTCTGATTACATCTGAATGAATCAGAATGTAAGACACTCTTAACACCAATCAAACTAAAAAATAAGACTCCTACCTTAATTCAACTGCATCACAACAACTCATAAAAGTTTTTTACTTATTTAATTAAACTTGCTTACCATTATAATTTTCTATATTCTTAGTAACTTAATATACATCTTTTACTTTCATAAATTAACCAATATATACGAATTGATAAGCACTTCATGATATAATATTTAGCACTAGGCCTGTTTGAAAATCGAGTCAAACCATTAACTCGAACCAATTTTTAATTTATTGGGCTAACGGGTCGGGATATTGGGTAATTGGTTCGGAGCTCGATTTAGTATTTTTTTAATTGACTTAACGATTCCCTGGTCGGGTTTGGAAGGAAAAGTATCGGGTACCCGATACCCCGATAAGACCCGTTATTTATTCCCTAATTTCTAATCACAATTCTAGTTATTAGGTCTTAGGTTAGAAAATCTTCAGTTCCAAACCCCCTCTCGTTTAAGGACTTCTCATTTCTCCAAATTCCAAAGTCAGGCGAGGCGAGGCGACGACTACGGACTACTCCAGTCACTCAGGCGAGGCAAGGCAACGACTGCTCCAGTCACTCAGGCGAGGATGCAACTCGCAAGGTAACGACTAACGATTATACCTCAAGCCTACAACATTTTTATTCATTCTATTAATCATTATGTATGTCTATTTTCGTGATTCAACCGAAGGAACAAAATATTGGCTTGTTAGTCGAGCTTTAGTTACTCTGAAGAAGTGCATATTGATGCATACTTTTTGTGTATCTTCTGATAGTGTATTTTCTCTATATTATACCAGTTTGTTATTTAGTCGGATCGAGATATGAATTCAGTGCATTTGTGTACTATACTCTGGTCTAATTGTTGATTTTCGCGATGATGGAGTTCATTTTCAGCATCCTATTTTGCATTGGTGATAAAATTTCCTCCTTAAAATGTCATTTTGTTGATTGTCTGATAGGTGAGCAAGCTCAAATTTCAAAAGTTAGAAGCTTAAGTGCTCGAGACTTTGAGCCTTACTCTTCTCAGTTCTCATGACTTCTGCACAGACCTACTTGGCTCTCCAGTCTCAGGTTCTCAGTCGCTCACTGCTCAAGCCTCACAAGTAAGTCTCAAAATTTTAAATTCACTTAATTTCATGATTTCACTATGAAGTGTGATGTTTGAATTTGATTATGAGAAAATGATTGTGAATTTTTTATTTGGTCATAGAAAGAACAGCCAGTGAATTTGTTGTCCTTCAGTTTAATTAAGTTTGTTGAAAGGCCAAAAAACTTGTAAATCAGAAACAAGTCCAGCAAAAGAATCATGTCTGTCTCATTGAAATGTACATTCAAGAATTTATTCTTCCTTCATTTTTTCCCCTATCATTTTCTGTTTGTGGGCCAATTTACTGCAACTTTATTTAACCCAATTTCCGTTTTGGTATACACAAGTTGTATATCGGCGTATAAATCTCATATATCAACCCCGTTTCATGTCTTCCGGACGTGTGCCATCTTTTGGGAACCTGTTCTTCAAGTTCTCAAGGCGGTATGACTTGTTAAAAGAATTTTGTATTTTCATGGGTCATGTTAAAATGCAAAGGAGGAAGGAAAAGAGTTCAATGAACTCATCCAATGATGCCATAAAGAGGAAACAAAAACAAGAGTTAGCCAGCTATAAATTTTCTGGTGGAAATGAATCACAACACCTAAAAATATAAAACTAGAGCTCAACACATGTATAACAAGAAAAATTCAAACAAGCAATATTATAACAGTCATAATATAAATCTCCCTTGAAACAAAATGATATATTCACCCATAGAGTATGTCATTCAGTTAATACCCAAAAGAAAAACTCTTCACACAAAACAAATAAAATAAGGGGAAATTTTTTAAAATGTCAATATTTTAGCATTTAAGAGGACTCATTAGTAACAATTTTAATATTTAGTAAAAATGTCATTTTAGTTTGTTATGTATATTTTTATTATTTATTTTTATTTAAAGAATATAATTATTTAATAACAAAAAGGAGAAAATTAAGGGGGGAATATTTCAAAAAAAGGCAAGCATCCTTAATTTTTTCATCAGTTACATTTTCAAATTAAATATAAATTTGTTTTTTTT